GGAAACAGCCATGGCTAACAGAGAAAGGAAGAAACAAGTGCACTCAATTCCAATACAGCTTTGATGAACTGGTAACAGAACTAGGCAGCATTATTGAATATATTGCAGCAGTGCAGCCCAAGCGCTAGAAAGCAGTGGCCGGGAGAGGAGGACTAAACATAAAGCAGCACCATCTCATTTTACACTGTGCTGACTATTGCAGCTTTTAACACCAAGGCTGTGGAAAGTTTTCCACTCCATAGTACCCTTGCACACCCCTTCTAAAAATAGAGAGGGGCAGCTGGCTATTGTGCCTGAAAGAAGACCCAGTAGATTTCCCCCCCCGCTCCCCCTTTCTTTGACTGACATGCTTCCTTAAAGTCATCCAGGAATTTTGGAAAGGGTTCTCTCCACCTGTTGAACATGGACTGGGTTGTGCAAGCATTCAATTATAAATCCAGCTGCCAAAACCCAACGGTAAAAACAGGGCACAAGACAACTGTGAAATGGTGCAAAACTAGTTGCAGGAAAATATGGTACATACAATGTTTATATTAGAATCTTAAAAGGTGAACTGGAAAATTTATATAAAGAAAATGAAAATTTCCTGTGTATGATCTGGGCTCATAAAACAAAGTAGGAACAGCTGTACTGTACGGTATTTAGGTGTTAGCTCCCCGTTTGTATTAGATATTGCGCACACTGATCATCATACAAAATAGAGCCTCCCAGTCATCTACATAGCTTGGTACAAAATTTGATTACATGTTTGTGTGTGCATGTACCAAGAGCAGGCTCTCTTTTCTGTATGTAGTACACTGCCAATTAACCATGTCCCAGATGGTGTACAACAACAATGTATAAAAAACAGTGTATTTACGAATTATAACATTTACCTATATATCTATCTCAACATGTATGCTCATCTGCACTTGTGTACTGAATTGAGAATCTACCCAAGTACCTGCCTGTCAACACACAAAGTTAAAGTAAGGATTCCATATTCCCGGATATACACATTTTTATTTTTGGAAAAAATGTGGGGAAAAAATCAGCCCTTTTTACTAACCTGCAAAGCAAATTCAAGATTCTTCTGTGCCCATTGTAGCAGCAGAGAACATTACTGACAACTCAGTCAGAGCAGGATGTGAAAGACAAAGCGTATTGATTGGTTGTGCAATGTTTTAGGCGCTTGTGATGTCATAAACCGCTGAAGGGGAGAGCTGTATTCTCAAACTCAGGGCTAGCAGGTGGGACAAGCAGGAACTGCTGCAGAGCCCCGTGCTGGGAGGACAGGGCCACCACTGCGAGGAGACACGGGATCAGGAGGGCAGGATCCATCACTGTCACCATACAGCTCCAGTCATCTGCCCAGAGCGAGAGGAATGGTTTGAACTATCCCTACTGAGGAAAGGAACTCAGGCAAGGTCCCAGGTCAAGAAGTTCAGGGATGGGTAACTGGAAGTGGTAGCTAACCACCCTGGATGAAATGGTGGAGAGAGCAACAAACAGGGGAGATGGGTTGGAGTCTCTTCTGTTGATGCGCTACCCTGAACAATTTACTATGAACGGCCAGTATTACATGTATTTCACCTTTAGGCACCACACACTGACTTGCCCATGTTTCTTGTTCTCATAATGCTACACTCTTTTCCTTTCCTAGTATTTTTATCTGCAATACTGCACTTTAGACATGGAAAGCCATCGATCTTCAGTTCAGTCATTGGGTATGTTTTCAGTCTATGTTTGAGTTTGCAGCTTCTTACCGTGTATACTGTACTCTTTAGAGGGGTTTTGTTCATCACTATTAAAAACAAATCAATTGCCCTGATTATTTGTCTGTAACATAGGTAACTATGTTCCCTCTAAGTTTAGACTATGGTTCCTCTCTTTCAGAGTTTTTGCCCTGATATAACTGACTTGTTTTCCTCCTGACTGACTCCACTGGACCTTGGCTGCTAATAGCCACAGTATTTACACAGTACTTTATGCTACTTTAATTGGTTCAGCTCCCCTTCATTTTCACTTGCAAACACTAAAGATGATGTCCCAACCGCCACCCAGAATCTCCAACCAAAGCTTAAAACACGACTCCAGCATATGCCTGCAGAACACAAAGCAGCACTTCATTTTTTTATCAGCCACAGGTGAATTACACTTTTCCTTGCTCTAGCTGCTGCGAGCACACTAACTCATTTCCATGGGTTGGGTTCACTGGTCTGTGACAGCTAGATCCAACTCAGCTTCACCCTCCAGTGAGGAGATTGCTCTAGAAGCCAAGGTGCTGTGGAGTGGTTGGAAAAGACTTTCAATAGCAGGAGTGACATTGTAATGGAAAGGGAAGCCTGAAGAGGACAATGGTCAGCAGCCACCATGTGAAGGGTGTATACAGCCCTCACTTCACCTGACTGATGAGGTGGTATACAAACAGTCAAATGTGGGCCAGGTTATAGCTTTTCTCTTTTAAATTTATTTCTCCACCCTGAGATAAGTGCTGCAATCTACATCTGGAACTATATTCCATTTTACATACATGTAACATGATGCTGCTTTATCCCAGCTAGCCAAAGAATATCGGATATTCCTTTACATCTTCAGTGGGGAGTAAAAGAGAGGCATGTACTAAACAAGGTCTCATTTTACCTTTTCAGGCAGAAAAAAAATTGCTCTTCTAAACACTCAGCCCTTCAAAATCAGCTCCCTTCTGAGGGAACTGGGTGGCTCAAGTAATTATTGGTAGAGGAACATGGAGCCTTTCATCTCCAAGTCATAAACTGAAGCCTGCTCTGTACTGGTTGTGATCGTGAGATTATTTTAACAGCTGCTCAGTGGCCTGTTAGGACTAGTATTCCTGGTCCAACACTCTCAGTCTCCTAGATGCAGTCTCACAGAGGAAAGGAGACTACGCTACCTAAGGGTGTTTTCTCCAGTGCATGGTTGGGGCACCTTGGAACAGTGTAGAGAAACCTGCACTTCTGAGGTCTGTGCTGTAACTGTTCTGTGATACAATAGAGAACCTCCACCTCCAGGGCTGTCACTGACACTTCACAAGCATCAAATGTACATGAAGTAAGAAGAAAAAAGTATAATTGCCGGGTGGAGTGAAGTTTAATGAATTAATGCTTGTAAAGCATGTTGATATCCTCCAGTGACATGCCCTATAAATGCCAAGCATTATTCTGTTTTCTAGCTCTTGGGCCTGTGTGGAAATACTTAGATAGGTAAGAAATCACCTGTGAATTACTTCCATCATACCAATTACTAAAAAGACTGGAAACTGAAGTGCAGCCTGCAAGGTGGCAGAGTAGAGACTGCATCATTCTTCCCTCAATCTTGAAAAACTAACTGCAATTACAGGTGCCTTCTACATTAAAAGCAGGTAACAACTTCTTGTTTTCAGCCTGAATGCAAACTGTCTGGGTGAGGTGAAAAGGACAGCTGACAAGGTTAAAAATCTCAGACAAACGTATTTACAACCCAGCATAAGTATGTCCGATTCAGAGTCCCTAGTAAGAAATGATGCAAGAACACCAGATAAGAGGAAGTTCCCAGCTACATTCCCAATCTACAATGTGATGCGGCTTTCTCCCAGCTAGCCAAAGATTATTTTCATGAAGTTTATGTAACAGCGCAGGGAGGGGGGTGTCTCCGTAGACCAGCCTCCGCCTCTCCAAACAGCTCTGTCTGGACTTACGTATAATTCAAGGATCTTGGCCAAAGTTGTCAAGTTTAGGTGCCCCAAATCAGGCACCTAAGTCTACATTCAAGTATCTAAATCAAAGTGGACTGATTTTCAGAGGTAACTACAGTTGAAAATGCTGGCCTGTAAAAAAAAAAAAGTTGACCACATCTTAAAATTCTATCAGCAGTCTTAGAACAGGTTATAAAACAAATAGGTAAATTTATTTCTAATGGTTACTAAAATAGTTTCTTTAAATTATTTACAAATCATCACTGGTCATTTCCAACCGATAAACTAACATACGATTTTAAAAAACACTTGTCCAGTGAAGTGTTTTAACATTTAAATCTCTTTTCTTCATGAGCAGGTCTTACACACATAAAATGGCAGCACTTCCATGTCTCTTTGCTGTATAAATACCTCTACATAAAACAAATTAGTGGTCAGTTTCCAGTTCTCAAAGAAGAAGGGCCAAATCCACCACTGGCATAAGTGGTCACAGCTCCAAGTCTATGGAGTTTTCTTGCACCGGTCATTAATCCAGCTCATTTCAGATCGCAAACCAGTGTGTTTTCTGGTAGTCTTAGCATGGGGACTTAGCTGCCCTTTCACCCTCTACAGATAAGTCCCTTTTAAGGACTTTTGTAGCAAGGCAAAGGGAAGATTGAGTAATGGATGTGTTAGAGTGCCATCAATCTGACAGCTATTATAAGAAAATGTATCTTAAACATGAGCAGTTTCCTTCAAATCCAAGAAAATTGAATGGATCTGGAGCAAGAGACATCCAAGGTGAGATACTAGGCAGTAGAGAGGCATGAAAGTATGACAATTCTTCTGTGGGTATAGAAATACATACATGATTTTTAATCGGTGGTAAATTTTAGGGATTTTTGGCATGAGCCACTCAATAAAATATGTTCAACACATGCATATGAAGTCTGTTTTTCTTAAAATTTACATAGGAAGCAGCAGGTTTTATGCAGACACACTGGGGAGTCATTTGGGACAAGGCTTACAACAGTAATAAACAAATCCTCTTGATGTAAAAATACTCTTTTCGAATAAAACCTTTGGACCTAGCCAAAATAATCTGTTCAGACTGTACACATCTTAGGCCTTTGAGAAGGGTGTGGTGAGGCTTTTTTAGCATACACTGGAACAGCATTTAACATTTCCTCCTTGAGATTTGTATGTCTTAAAACTGGATGCAGAACAGAGGATTCCTGGGTGCTCTGGGGAGCAGATGCATTAAGGGGTTATTTTGTTAACTGACGTGTTAACAACATCCGGAGCAATCACTTGCACTTCGTTCATCCCAGCCTTCAAAGTTTGGGGGAGCGGGGGGAGGAAGGAGGCGAGAGGGGGCACCAGGCTCTTCTAAACAGAACAAAAACAGCTTTGAGAAGTCTCTCCTGAACCAGAACATCTTCTATACAATTCAGCCAGTCTAGGAAACATGCAGAGGCAACTTATACCCAAGGCCATGGTCAGCTGCAGAAAGAAAGCCGATGGTTGGATGCATGTAGCCCCATCTCTACTACCAATTAATAAAATTAAGCCTCTGAGAATAGAGGGGAATGTTATTCTGGTAGATTGTAAGTAGGTAGAGGAGACAGGAGAGAAGTCTGTAGAATCCGCTAGATCCCATTATCTTGCCATACCCAATGGCAGTACTACCTACTGCTGGAAAAGTTTCAGCAGAGAGACACTTGTCTACTGCACACAAGAATAGCTTTACACACAGAGGGATGGCTCTACAATGGGGGCAAGACATTTCTACCTACAGATCACTAGGCCCAATGAGTTACTGAGGAGGGACCAACCTAACAGCTGTGCTCCATACTTACACTCTCCAATTGTCTAGAGAGAACTCCAGTTCTTTTAAATGGAACAACCCTACCAGTCCTTGCTCTGCATAGAGAATATTGTGTGCTGCCTCAGCTCAGCAGTTAAGTTCTGCACTGCCCAGATACCACAACACTGTTTTCCTATCCTCCCATGTCTTATATTTAATCCATCTGTAAGCAGCCCTCCTTAGGAAGAGCATTTTCAGGCCAAACAGGCAGGACCAGGTGAGATATGCGGCTCCACAGTCCACTCAGTTTATCTGTGTCCATGTGATTATAGGAGCTGGGAGTGTCTGAATTGGTGAATTTGGCCCAGAGAAAATCCCGCACTTTCTCCTCAACATCCAGCAGCCTGAGGTTCTTTCTCAGGGACTTCTCATCCAGAAGGACAGTTAGCAGAAGAGTTACATCCTTAAATGCTGCATTTTCATGGTCACAGTACTTGTAGAAGATCAAAGTGGAGCCTGCAGGCAGAGACTCAAATCGATGCACCACAGCTGCTTTTTTACCTTCCTTGAACCCAGAGCTTAGCTTATTATCTACCTCCAGCTTGACGACGTCGCTATCCAGCGTGGCTTTTCCAGCCCCATCAATCTTGATTGTGGCAGCACTCAGGGAGGAGGAATAAGCTTCAGCAATCTGGTTACTTAAGCACTTTAGAGACTTTTCAGCTTCTTGAGCAGCTGTGAGCAGTAAGATGGCAGGCTGCGAGTGGGGATGGGTGGTATTGAGTCGTTTCACAAGGAACATTTGGATTCTCTCCCACAGTCTTGGATCCTGATTTGGATAGACATTCCTAAGTTTCTTCATCTGGGTCTCAAATGCTTGCACAACTTTGATTTCTTCCCTCGGCAAAGTCTTAGAGGATTGATTCTTCCAGACATGCCATACAACAGTAACGGAAGCTACTGCTAATACCAAAATGCACATCCTAAACCATCCTGCACTGGACTGTCCAACAGGCTCTGCACAAAAGAGAATGGGGGGAGAGGGGGTGGATGTTAAAAATAAGCAAATGCTTTTGTCATGCTCAATGAGGAATCAATTAGTATGGATGAGTGAACAGTGACATTTGAAAAGACCCATTTTCCTATCCCATAAACAACTGAACACCACAAGATAATGGAGACACCCTGGAGTGAGAAAGAAGGACTTAACTTCCTGGAGGAAAAACTACAGGGTAACGCAAGACATCGGGTAAATTTTTCAAAAGTACCTAAACAACTTAAACACACAAGTCACAGTTTGAAAATGGGACTTAAGCATTTTTGAAAATTTTGCTCACTCACATTCTAACCATTATATCTAATCAAAGAAGAATAAATTATTAAAAACACAGTAAAATGTATCTTAAAGAGGCAGGTCAAACCTGGCCTGATATTTAAGTTTTGTAAGAATAATCTTCTACAAAATCTGAAGGCAACAGAAAGGAAAAAAGTAAAGCCATAGAAACCAATCTCAAAGGCATTTTTAAACAAAATGAACATTCTTCGCCATTGTTTGCAACTCAAACATTACTGCATTGTGCTAGTGCCGGGGTTCTCAAACTAGAGGTCGCAAGGTTATTATGTGGGGGTTGCAAGTACATGCCTCCCAGCTAGCTACCAAGTCTGCTGTGAAGTCTGCGCTAGTAAGTCTGCTGTGAAAAGTGATATTAAACATACAAATATCACTTTAAAATAGTGTTAAATATAAAAAATGTGGTTTTAATTTATAAGGGGGTGACGGGTCGCACTCAGAGGCTTGCTATGTGAAAGGGGTCACCAATACAAAAAGTTTGAGAATCAGTGTGCTAGTGCATAAGAACCCAGAAGTGAAATGGTCTCATCCATTCATTTAGAGAACGCAAAAAGTAAAAGCAGAGGATGAAGAGGACACAGGAAATGCATCTTACCATTGAAATGCATGGGAAATCATACATTTGAAGATGGATTACAAGTTTGTTTTTTAAATGTTAATTTAACAATGATTGAACTATTAACCAGGGTTATTGTTAACATTAAAAAAGCTTGTATCATGTTTTTAAAAATCTTCTCCTCCTCCCTGAATCCTACAGGGTCTGAGTCTACTTTCAATGAAGTCACTAATAAAACTCCCATTGACTTCTTTGTAAGCAGGATCAGACCCATATCAAGGAGATGCATTTCTTGGATCCTAAATATATCGGAAGACAGGATGACAAAAGTTTTCTGTAGATTACTACAACTGAATTTGAAGCATCTAATTTAAAAAACAATGGAACACAGAACTATCACTATGTGTGCCCCAAATTTAATCTCATATTGATGCCAGAGTTTATTAAAGGAGTAGAGGGCAGACCAGGTGGAAATCAGAGATTAGACGAGAGGCCTCTTGAGTTATCTTTCCCTCAGTGCTGAAAATATGTCTCCTGATAAGCAGGATGTGTAATGCAGGTCTGTTCTAGCAGGACCCACTATATAGCACCAGGTTAAAGGCCTTGAATTCAAGGATGGGCACGAAAATGGTTAAATGCTATACATACATTAAACAGATCTGAAAGCATAAATCTTACTTTTGGCTGCAGGCTGTGAATGCTTCTTCAGTGTATTGGGTTGAACTTGAGATTCAGCTTCATCTGTTGGAGTGATTGGAGGGAAGGGGAGTTAAGATGACAGAATCCTGATCCATTTATCTAGTTATCAATGGAAGGGGTGAGAAATCATATGAAAACTGATTTTAGCTCTAAACTCAGTCTAGCTTCTGCTTTTTGTAGATTAAAACCGGCAGAAATATTAAAGGTTAAATGACCTGACCTCATTGAGAACACTGCTTAGCCAGCATTGTTTCACTAACAGAAGTGAGGAAGGGACTATGAACTCAGCAGTCCTAGCTGCTACTTTAACAAATAATCAGCTGGAAAGGATTTCATTTCAGGTTTGCATCAAAGAGTTCAAAGCCAGCCCTGTCCCATCTCCAGAGACAAATACAATGGCATGTTCACAACTGTTTCAGGCCAGCAAACTGATCTCTTTCAACTGGCAGACCAGCTTCAGTTTCCCATCCACACTCCTCACAGGTCTCTTTTTCAGAAAAGCACAAATAACCAAACATGCTTATGTAGTGCTAACAAACTCCTCAAATGCTGAACCACCAAAAGAAAATAGCAATCAATCTATACATAGGTAAACGAGAGGCAGAGTTTCATCCACATACTTGATTTCCTGAATGTCGTCTTCTGGTTAAACACTGGTTGTTTTTGTACAACTGTTGGGGGATCTGGAACATAGTAACAGAAGAAACATATGCATAATTTAAAGCAATACCGTTACCATATTAGATTCAAGAAACAGAAGAAAAGTAGTTTTGTCAAGCACAATCTCAGTCCTCAAAGTTACTTCTGCCCACCAATGTGCTGTGTAACACCATCAGAAAACTGGACCAGATAGTGCTTTATAACCCAAAATGCAAGCTTTTATATGAAAGTGAGCCTTGGGAGTATTCATGTAAAAAATATGAGACGGTAAAAGATACTAAACAATAACTCCTGAAAAGGACAGTGTAAACTGCATTCCATCAGCATGTATGAATGTGCACACCATGCAGTTATCTGTTGTTATGGTTTCAGTGAGGGTACATGTAATGTTTACTCACATGGTACAAAACCACCTACATTTATGTCTCCTTGAGTCAAATAAATCCTGTGTAATCACAGCAATTGCCTCAAAGATGAAAGATCTCATATACAGATAGGTATATAGATGCATAGTCACAGATGGAGAGAGAGTGGAGGACACTAGCAGAAACAGGCAGGCAGAATCTGAGCAAGGAAGATGAATGGGTAATGGAAGGGTAGCCCAGAATCCCAGGAGATAACGTATAACTATTGACCCTGATCAGAGGTTTATGAGAACGAACACTCAGAAGTGAACATATGGGACATGAATGCTATGAATCATGTCTAATACTTCAACACACAGTGTTTGCTCAGCTGCAGCCACACATGCCCATCACATTGGGCAGTGTCCTCATTGGTGGCTGCTCATTGTTTGAAATTCAGCATAGGATTACATTCAAATCACAGAAGCAGCACCACAATAAAATGAACAGAGATCATAAATTTAACAGACACTGACCAATTTGGAGACAAATCAGTCATGGACATAGTACTTCCAAACTGCTACTCAAAGGGCAGCTTGGCATTTGGGATGCAGGGGGAGATTTAAAACAGTCACTTCTTTCTAATGCAGCCTGTCCCTATCTACACTCTTAGGGTATGTCTTCACTACCTGCTGTATCGGCGGGTAGCAATTGATTTATCCGGGATCGATATATCGCGTCTCGTTAAGACGCGATATATCGATCCCCGAACGTGCTCACCGTCGACTCTGGAACTCCACCAGAGCGAGCGGCGGTAGCGCAGTCGACGGGGGAGCCGCGGCCGTTGATCCCACACCGTGTGGACCCCAGGTAATTTGATCCAAGATACTTCGACTTCAGCTACGCTATTTGCGTAGCTGAATTGCGTATCTTGGATCGATCCCCCCCCCCCAGTGTAGACCAGCCCTTAGCTGTCTTTATTTCCTAGTCTTTGAATTCAGTCACTGGAGTTCTAAGCAGAGGATGGAAAGTTATAACTAAAGTGAAATTAATTCTCATGAGAGGCACCACCAGACTAATGCCTTTTGGAACCAAAACCACTTGTTTAATAACAAGGGCAGCCACCTCACCATGCACCTGAAGTCTGAGAGGCAAGGGTGCTAAAGCATATCGACTGTGTAGGTGCTATACACCACCTCCTTGAAACTGAACGAAGGCCAGCACAGCTCTGCTTTTGCATGCACCTCCTCTCTCATCTCCCAAGTCCAGTTCATCTCCGTGCTTTGTCAGGTTGGTGCACCTGGCTGCTCCCCTGGTCTTCTCCCATAAGCAATCATATAGCAAGTTGATTCGATTTTGACCTGACTGGATTCATACCATAATCTATTACCAGTCTTCAATCACCCAGTCCTCCACCAGGGTATCTATTCATACACTTTAGTATCAGTTGTAGAAACTGCAAATCAATTTATCTTAAATCATGTCTTAAAGGGGCCCTCAACTTTAAAAAACCCACTTCTGTCTAAAAGTCTTTTCATACTGTTACAAGTCACATCTAAGATAACTATAACTGAGAAAGAGTAGAGGAAAAAATTCTCTTTCATCACTTTATTTGCACTTGGTATAGTCAGTTTCCATTGCCGGAGTCATTGGGAGCTTTCAGTAACTCAGCTCTTCTAGAAAAAAAAAATAAGGCCACTTAATTAAGCGGCTATGGCCCCACTCCTGGAAACACATATGAGTAAAGTTACTCACATGAGTCTCATCAAGCATGTATCTTAAGTGTTTGCAGGACCAGGGCCTATATGTGCACTTAAATTTAGGATTTCACTTTTGAGCATTTTGGCCTAACACAACAGTATAGTGATAATTTAATAAATAAATAAATAAATCCACAAAAATTGTCAAGGAGCTTTTTTCAACTGACTAGGTTTCAAATTAACAATACTCCTTTAATAACATTAGGAGAACTTCAACATTATTATATTTAAATGATTTATAGTAGATTTCTCATGTTTAAACAGGATTTAAGCAGACTAGAAAATGAATTTTGGCTACTATGTTGTGTCACATGTTTGTTACTTTTCAGCAAGATGACAACCTCCAGCAAGAGATGTCAAATGTCCATCATCAGAAGCCCAGGACACCACAGACCAGGGCACACCAACTCAAAGCAGCACCAGACCCAGCCAGAACAACAGACGCAAAACCTGCAGACATATCTCCACTAATACAATGATCAACACCACCACCACACAAAACACCCTTCAAGATCCATGGGTCCTACTCATCCAGTGCATTAAATGCCTCAACAACTATGTGGTGAAACCAGTAATTAAGCTCTCAAATGAACTCCCACAGGAAAAAGACAAAAATACCAGATCACCTGTTGGCAAACACTTTTCACAAAGCGATCACTCTATATCTGACCTATCAGTCCTCATCCTCAAAGGAAACCTGCACAACACTGTCAAAAGATGAGCCTGGGAGCTTAAATTCATAACTTTGCTAGACACTAAAAATCATGGTCTTAATAAAAAGACACTAATTTATGTCTTATTACAACAATCTGTAACCCACTAACCCCCTTTTAGTCCTATGACTTCAGGGGTGTTAATAGCCCACTTCACCTTGAATGGTCCCTTACAATATATCATAAGTAGTTAGCATAAACTATCTGTTCAATCTTTCATTTAGCTGTGACACTCTTAGTACTTTCCCCACAGCTGAAGAAGAGCTCTATGTAGCTTGAAAGCCTCTTTCTCTCTCTCTCTCACCAAGAACTTGGTCCAATAAAAGATGTTACCTCACCCACTTTGTCTCAACTGTATAAATATTTCATACATATCAAACAGTGGTTCTCTCTGCCCAAATTTTCAGAATGCTACACTGAACTACAAAACTGTACTGCCATGTATACAGTACTGTACTGTAATGATATCTTGTTATGTTTTGCTTTGTTCTGGCCCAAAGTTTACAAGTTTAAAAAACGGAACTGATAATCATTGGAGACAAACCCTTTGACAGAAGAAGGGACGACTGCAAAACATCACTTCCATTATCTCTTGGTGGTTGATACACATTAGTCTTCTTATAATTTTCTCCATCATTTTCAGATTCATTGTCATCACTGTAGCCATCAGCATCCTCTTCGTCTTCCTCCTCTTCCTCCCCATCATCTGCAAAGACAACAGGTTATATAAAGATTAAGAACTGCTTGCCACACAACTCAAAGGCTATTATATATAGCCACAGCACTACCTGTATGCATGACATTTCACAGAATAAAAGGACAGGTCCCTGTCTCAAGAAGTTTATGGCCTACACTAACCATGGGACACCAAAAGTTGAAGTCTACAACAGGAAAAGTTGTAAGAAACTACTGGATGTACATATCTTGTTTAGTTGCTATTTTGCCAACTTGTGTAACTGTTTGGGCACTACAGTTCTCCCTTGGGTAATGTTAATACTTGGAAAGAGCAAAGTCCAGCAAGATGGCAGGTCAACCAAGAGAATCAAGCTAGGAGAAGGATTTGAAAGAGCGAGGTACCACCATATGGTGCACAGAATCAGAGGGATATTTCAGGCGTTCAGTAGGGGTGTAGCATGATAGATGGCACAGAGCTGACCGTGGGAGGAAATCAAACGGGTGACCAAATGCACAGGGGTGGCAAAGTATGGAGCACGAACAGAGAAGAGGTCGGTGAATGGAAGAGCAGAGCTGTACAGCACCTCGAAGGCGAAAGGTGACCAATTCAGACTGACTGTAGTCTCTTAAGACTATAAAAATAAATACAGGTTTGAAGAGGGTTTTTTTTGTTTTTGTTAAAGAAATAGCCCCTTCCTGCCTTGTGTAATACCAACCTTCTCAGCATTCCTTCATAAAAATATCATTGCCTATTCTGCAGTTCCTGCCATCTAAAACAGTTCTTCTATATTACTCCTTTTCATTTCAAATCTTAGTTGACGAACTTCTCATCTGTATGAGATAATTATTAACTCTCAGTTTCACACCCACCCCCTAGTTATATTTAACTCTAAGGGTATGTCTGCACTACGAAATTAGGTCAAATTTATAGAAGCCGGTTTTATAGATATCGGTTTTATACAGTCAATTGTGTGTGTCCCCACATAAAATGCTCTAAGTGCATGAAGCCGGCGGACCGCGTCCACAGTACCGAGGCTAGCGTCGACTTCCGGAGCGTTGCACTGTGGGTAGCTATCCCACAGTTCCCGCAGTCTCCGCCACCCATTGGAATTCTGGGTTGAGATCCCAATGCCTGATGATGCAAAACAGTGTCGCGGGGGGGTTCTGGGTACATGCCGTCAGGCCCCTCCCGCTCCGTCAGAGCAATGGCAGACAATTGATTCGTGCCTTTTTACCTGGGTTACCTGTGCAGACAACATACCACGGCAAGCATGGAGCCCGCTCAGCTCAGCTCACCATATGTCATCTGGGTGCCGGCAGACGTGGTACTGCATTGCTACACAGCAACAGCTAATTGCCTTTTGGCAGTAGATGGTGCAGTATGACTGGTATCCGTCGTCGTCGTACTCCAGTTCAATCAGAGGCACCTGGGCAGACATGCTTTGTCTCCTGGAGACTCAGTCCTGCCGGCAGTCCTACTGAACCGTCTTGACGATGATGGCTAGCAGTCGTAGTACAGTATCTTCTGCCAAGCACCCAGAAGATGCCGAGGGCTATCAGTCATGCTGCACCGTCTGCTGCCAGCTTAAGATGTAAAAAAAATAGATGTATTCATTTGCTTCCCCCTCCCTCCGTGAAATCAACGGCCTGCTAAACCCAGGGTTTTGAGTTCAATCTTTGGGGGGGCCATTCTGTGTGACAGTTGTTTGTGTTTCTCCCTGATGCACAGCCACCTTTGTTGATTTTAATTCCCTGTACCTGTACACCATGTCATCACTTGCCCCTCCCTCCCTCCGTCAGTTTCGCGCCTTTTTTCAGACCAGACGCCATAGCACTGGGATCATGGAGCCCGTTCAGATCACCGTGGCAATTATGAGCACTATGAACACCACGCGCATTGTCCTGGAGTATATGCAAAGCCAGGACATGCCAAAGCAAAACCAGGACCAGCCGATGAGGCGATTGCAGCGTGGCGACGAGAGTGATGAGGAAATTGACATGGACACAGCCCTCACACAAGGTACGGGCCCCAGCAATGTGCAAATCATGGTGTTACTGGGGCAGGTTCATGCCGTGGAATGCCGATTCTGGGCCCGGGAAACAAGCACAGACTGGTGGGACCGCATCGTGCTGCAGGTCTGGGACGATTCCCAGTGGCTGCGAAACTTTCGCATGCGTAAGGGCACTTTCATGGAACTTTGTGACTTGCTTTCCCCTGCCCTGAAGCGCCAGAATACCAGGATGAGAGCAGCCCTCACAGTTGAGAAGCGAGTGGCGATAGCCCTGTGGAAGCTTGCAACGCCAGACAGCTACCGGTCAGTCAGGAATCAATTTGGAGTGGGCAAATCTACTGTGGGGGCTGCTGTGATCCAAGTTGCCAGGGCAATCAAAGACCTGCTGATATCAAGGGTAGTGACTCTGGGAAATGTGTAGGCCATAGTGGATGGCTTTGCTGCAATGGGATTCCCTAACTGTGGTGGGGTGACAGACGGAACCCATATCCCTATCTTGGCACTGGAGCACCAAGCCACCGAGTACATAAACCGCAAGGGGAACTTTTCAATGCTGCTGCAAGCCCTGGTGGATCACAAGGGACGTTTCACCAACATCAACGTTGGATGGCCGGGAAAGGTACATGATGCTCGCATCTTCAGGCACTCTGGTCTGTTTCCAAAGCTGGAGGAAGGGACTTTCTTCCCAGACCAAAAAATAACCGTTGGGGATGTTGAAATGCCTATCTTGATCCTTGGGGACCCAGCCTACCCCTTAATGCCATGTCTCATGAAGCCGTACGCAGGCAGCCTGGACAGTAGTCAGGACCTGTTCAACTACAGGCTGAGCAAGTGCCGAATGGTGGTGGAATGTGCATTTGGACGTTTAAAAGCACGCTGGCGCACCTTACTGACTCGCTCAGACCTCAGCGAAAAGAATATCCCCATTGTTATTGCTGCTTGCTGTGCGCTCCACAATATCTGTGAGAGTAAGGGGGAGACATTTATGGCGGGGTGGGAGGTTGAGGCAAATCGCCTGGCCGCTGATTACGCGCAGCCAGACACCAGGGCGGATAGAGTACAGCAGGGCGCGGTGCGCATCAGAGAAGCTTTGAAAACGAGTTTTGTGACTGGCCAGGCTACGGTGTGAAACTTCTGTTTGTTTCTCCTTGATGAACCCTCCACCCCCGCCAACCGGTTCACTCTACTTCCCTGTAAACCAACCACCCCACTCTCCCCTCCCCCCTTCGGGCACCGCTTGCAGAGGCAATAAAGTCATTGTTACTTCACATTCATGCACTCTTTATTAATTCATCACACAATTAGGGGGATAATTGCCAAGGTAGCCCGAGAGGGGTGGGGGAGGAGGGAAGGAAAAGGACACACTGCAGCTTAAAACTTTAACACTTATTGAAGGCCAGCCTTACGATGCTCGGGCAATCATCTGGGGTGGAGTGACTGGGTGGCAGGAGGCCCCCCCACCGTGTTCTTGGGCGTCTGGGTGAGGAGGCAATGGGACTTGGGGAGGAGGGCTGTTGGTTACACAGGAGCTGTAGCGGCGGTCTCTGCTCCTGCTGCCTTTCCTGCAGCTCAACCATACGCTGGAGCATATCAGTTTGATGCTCCAGGAGCCGGAGCATCGACTCTTGCCTTCTGTCTGCAAGCTGACGCCACCTATCATCTTCAGCCCGCCACTTGCTCTGTTCATCCTGCGATTCAGCCGGCCACCTCTCCTCTCGTTCATATTGTGCTTTTCTGTAGTCTGACATTGACTGCCTCCACGCATTCTGCTGTGCTCTTTCAGCGTGGGAGGACACCTGGAGCTCTGTGAACATATCATCCCGAGTCCGCCGTTTTCTCCTTCTAATCTTTGCTAGCCTCTGCGAAGGAGAAACATTTGCAGCTGGTGGAGGACAAGGGAGAGGTGGTTAAAAAAGACACATTTTAGAGAACAATGGGTACACTCTTTCACGTTAAATTTTGCTGTTCACATTACACAGCACATGTGCTTTCGTTACAAGGTCGCATTTTTCCTCTTATGTTGAGGGCTTGCCGGTTTGATGTGAGAGATCACTCACGCGGTGCCAGGCAACAGAATTCGGCTTGCAGGCAGCCATGGTAAGCCAGTCTTTTGGCTTTTTTAACCCTCATAACATGTGGGAATGGTTTCAAACAGTAGCGCCCTCATTTCCCATACCAAGGACCCGTTGGGTTGGCCATTTAAAATGGGTTTGCAATGTAAAAGGAGGGGCTGCAGTTTCAGGGTTAACTTGCAGCACAAACCCAATTACCCTCCCACCCCCCGCCCACACACACACAATTCTCTGGGATGATCCCTTCACCCCTCCCGCCCAACCACGTGGCTAACAGCGGGGAACATTTCTGTTCAGCCGAGCAGGAACAGGCACCTCTGAATGTCCCCTTAATAAAATCACCCCATTTCAACCAGGTGACCGTGAATGATATCACTCTCCTGAGGATAACAAAGAGAGATAAGGAATGGATGTTGTCTCCATGCCAGCAAACACCGGGACCATACGCTGCCATGCTTTGTTATGCAATGATTCCAGACTACGTGCTACTGGCCTGGCGTGGTAAAGTGTCCTACCATGGCGGACAGGATAAGGCAGCCCTCCCCAGAAAGCTTTTGCAAAGGCTTTGGGAGTACATGAAGGAGAGATTTCTGGAGATGTCCCTGGAGGATTTCCGCTCCATCCCCATACACGTTAACAGACTTTTCCAGTAGCTGTACTGGCCGCGATTGCCAGGGCAAATTAATCATTAATCATTAAACACGCTTGCTTTTAAACCATGTGTAATATTTACAAAGGTACACACTCACCAGAGGTCCCTTGTGTGCCCTCAGGGTCTGGGAGCACGCCTTGGGTGAGTTCGGGGGTTACTGGTTCCAGGTCCAGGGTGATAAACATATCCTGGCTGTTGGGGAAACCGGTTTCTCCGCTTCCTTGCTGTGAGCTATCTTCATTGTCTTCATCATCATCTTCTGCGTACCCCGAACCCGCTTCCCTGTTGCATGTTT